GCTGGCATTCGCATCGGAACGTCACCGGGGACCCCACACCCCGTCCATGCAGCCCTTCAAGGGTCACCACTGCCTCTGGGGACACTCACCGCACTGGTGGCCATCCGTGCCCCCCGCCAGGGCCAGCAGCACCCCGACAGCGAAAGCCACGCTGAGCATCCTGGCGTCCTAGGGGCGAGGGGGTCTGCTAAAGCTCTCAGAGTCCTGCCCACACTCGTCTCTCCAGGCGTCCTCTCTTACTTTTAACTGTTCCCGGTGCCTTTCTCCGGTCACCTGCCCTCCCACATCCGCCCTGGCACTGCCAAACACCACCTGCTTATCTCTGCGCCCAAGGGTGTCTGACGGGAGCCGGAGGGTCACGGCTGCGGGAGCATTGATTTTCCATTTGAGATCACTGGAATTTCCAGTTCCACGGAATCTGTCACTGTTTGAATATCCACGTGTCCACGTGTTCATCCCGGCGGACTGAAGGAGCTGGTGGGTGTCAGAGTGAGACCCCCACCTCAATCATCTACCCAAGGTCCTCAGTGCTCCAAAAGAGTTTCCTGCCGGCTGGAAGCTCGCCAGCCCGTGGCTCCCCTTTCAAAAAAAACTTTCCCTATAAATGTTATTATTTATTTAGATATATTTTATTTAGTTCCAGGGAACTTGCACCTGTGAGTCTAACCCCAGTTCCTAGTGTAATTATGGAGAAGATTATACTAGGGTGATATTGAAAGGAGTTTAAAGAATTATGCAATCATCAGGCACGGTCAACACGGGTTCACAAAGAGAAAGTCTTGTCTAACTGGTTTGGAATCCTGCTATGATAACGGCACCCATCTCCTGGGTGACGGGAAGGCAGCGGATGTTGTTTTTCTGCATATTCAGAAGGTTTTTGATCCTGTCCCTCATAGCACCCTCCTGGACAAAGTGTGAGATGAGCATGTTCATGCTGCCCTGGGTGAAGAACGGGCTGGATGGGGCACAAAGAAGGAGTGGCTGGAGACCAGTCACTGCAATTGTTACCAAACTGGGAGGTGCTGGTGACTCTCTCGAGGGACTAGAGCCTTACCAAGGGATCCAGCCGGATGGGAGCCTTGGGCAATCCTCAACAGCAGAAAATGTCACAAGAACAAACGCCTCATTCAGCACCCGGCACCTTCCTTATGGGAGTGGGCAACCACATAACGGTTGTGGTTCCACCTCCAGCTCCGCTCTATGGGAGGGGGCGGCTCTGGGGGGACGGTGATGAGTGGCCTTGGGGGCAGCTCAGTGTCCACCGACCAGGTCATCTTCTGCCCCAGGCTGCTCACCGCAGTGTCACCCCAGGGAGGGACACACCAACCTGCTTTGGGGGTGAGGACATGGCCAGAGATTGATCCTCATCGCCCCCCAGGCAGGGATGGGGACCAGGAGAAAGAATAGGGACCCTTAGTTTGCACCCTGAGAGGAGGAGGAGGAGGAGGAGATGGGCTTCAGGTGGGTGTGAGGGGCTGGGTGGGGTGGGAGGGGGCTGCAGGGACCACCCCCCCTCCCATTGGGAGAGCTGCAGCCGCCCACCTTGACCCAGGTGTAAAAGCCATCAGCGGGGGCTGCCCCTTCCTCTTCCTTCTCCATCACGATGAAGGCTCTCAGGTGGTTTGTGCTCTTCTTTGCTGCTGCAGCTTGGGCACGGGATGCCCTGGGTAAGGAGGAGGAGTCCTGGTGGGTCTGATCAACCCTCCTAGGAAGGGGGAGGAGGAGGCAGTGCCCCCCGGGCTGGGCTGCTGGGTGCCTCCACCCTGGGCATGGGTGATGCCTGGCTGCCAGGGGAGGAAGACCACGGTCT